TTTACTTTAGCACGAGCCTTATGTTGCAGCGCCATTGACATCTCGGGGATTGCAGTGGTTTTCATCAGTATGACCTTCAAATTATTTTGTATTGAAATTTATTTAACAAAATGATAAAATCAACTGAGGTGTGCATCGAAATAAAAATAAAATCGACTTTTAGAAGCTAAAAGATAGGTTACCAGGCAACGAAACATACGCCCACAGCAGCTATATCGTCCGAGCAGTCAACAAGAGTTGTCGCATATTTTTACTTTTTTCGGTAATGAAACATTTATAATACACTAAAAATCTGATTAAGAGTAACAACTAAGAGAACTATTAGAATTTGTTTGGTTTTTATAAAGTTCTGCCCCATGCTAACGTTTTGTATACAAAACTTTTAATATCATGGATTTAGCTGTTCCAAGGCATAAAAATTCATTGAAAACCAATATACTTGTTCGTCTCAAGATCTTAAACTCTGTGTATCAATCTGAAGTCAATCGGATGATAACTTTATCCTTTAGAGCGTCACAAGATTTTGCAAAATGATCAAGGGCCATAACTTTGGCAGGATTCTTCGTCTCATGACCTTAAACACTGTGTAAAAATTTAAGGTCAATCGGATATTAACTTTGGCCTCTAGAACGTCCACAAGATTTTTAATTTTTTGAATCAAGGACCATAACTCGAGCAGTAATTATAGAAAATCGCTAAAAATCAATAGGCCTTAAACGCCTTTAGAGCGTCACAAGATTTTGCAAAATGATCAAGGGCCATAACTTTGGCAGTAATTATCGGAAATCGTCGAAAATCAATAAGATTCTTCGTCTCATGACCTTAAACACTGTGTATACAAGATTTTTCAAAGTGATCAAGGGCTATAACTCTGGCGGTAATTATCAGAAATTGATAAAAATCAATAGGATTCTTCGTCTCATGACCTTAAACACTGTGTTTGAATTTAAAGTAAATCGAATATTAACTTTGGCCTCTAGAGCGTCCACAAGATTTTTTTGAAGCGATCAAGGGCCATAACCCTGGAAGTAATTATCGGAAAATCAATAGGCTTCTTCGTCTCAAAGACCTTAAAAACTGTGTATAAATTTAAAGTCAATCGGATATTAACTTTAGTCTCTAGAGCGTGCACAAGCAATTGTGGACGACGACGGGGGCGACGACAATATACGACCACATTTAAATGTGGGCGTTTAAAACAGGAATGTTCAAAGGGTGTGGAAGTGGACGTAAAACTCCAGGGACGAACAAAGGTGTTAAATCTATGTTTAACGGTACACTTTACCTGGATGAATCATGCTAAATCATGGTATTTCCTGGTTTGTCACCCCTTTTCCGATTGAGGTCACTTTTTCAAGGTCTATTTGTGGGCGTAGATAAGACGATTCAATCGAAGTAACATTCTGTGCATACCTCTATACATCTTTAAACATGCATATTTCAAGAGCTAAATCTGCCTATTGCAGGTCCTTCTTTATGCCTGAAATATTATATAAACTATTAATAAGACATTTATTAACTTATTCAAACCATAAATCTGCGATATTTAGCGGATTGGAATACATTTTTTGAAAAATAATTAACCGTAAAAATCGATAATCGAGACTTTGTTTTATATCGTACCGTCTTTAGTAATGATGATCGAGGCTAGCCTGAAATTCAAAAGCTAATATCTCGGTTCAGAGTGGAGCAATTTGACTGAATATTCTATTTATGTTATCTATTTCTAAATATTATACATTTATTACATGATCCGGGTTTTAACTATTATAGCGGGAACTGCCAGCCAATCTTACATAATAATGTATCTTTAAGCATATTTTATCTTTCGCAAATGAATCCGCGTAATTTCATAACACGGAAACAATTTTAACCCATACGTTAGTTATCTTACAATCTCTGATTGACAGTGCACTGATATTTGGGCTGTTTAATAAACAAACAAGCGGGAATAACGCATAGAGGTAGGTCATCTTTGTATTCAATGTAAGTATAAGTGAGGGCCATTTGTTAAAGCCCTGTCCCACCCAGTCCTGGAAATAACTGTTTTAGATGTACCTGGCTAATGAAATAGTACATGACATTTTTAAGTTAGTGCCAGACATGTATTATTGATATCATTAAAAAATCAGTGCCTGGCAAAATGACAGGCACCAGAGGTTTTGTGCCTGACAAAGCCTGAATATGTGCCTGACATTGTCAGTGACAGGTGCCTTATTTCCAGGCTTGGTCCCACCTGAAGTACGGTTTGTGACGAATCGCCGAGGCTTGCTAACTATGGATATTCTTGGAGGGAACCTTGAACAACATCGGACATTAGGATTCAATCAGCAAGCGCTGCGAATGTTTTGAACATGTGCTAGAACAGTTTCCGTGATCGTCAGTAATCAAACAATATTGCAAACATTTAGGCCACGCTTTCACGCGGGCTACGAATGCCAGGAATCGCAAAAGGTTGTTACGATTTTTCTTCAAGAATCACCACGATTAACAGTACAGTCGAATTTTTCACAGAATCATTTCACTTTTTCATAAAAGCATGAACATTTGTACTTGATAACGATAAGAGAATACTTGTCGAAACGTTGTGCTATAGGTCTATAAACCAGTGATTGTTTTCCATATAAATTGTATTAATAAAATAAAACCAAGTACAATCCAAACCATAAGACAAAATTCGAAGTCCTAAAAAACGTTATAGGCAAAATAGTGTATTGTGATTTTTCATATGTTCAATCGCCAAACGCCACTCAAGGATAAAAACCATGAACATATTGATGTTCTCGTTCGAATACGAGCGGGACACATGCGATCTGACCTCCTTTTGGATTCAAAATGGTCGCCTCTGAAATATGGTAGTTTGGCTATTTCAGCTTTAAGTATGATCAAACATTGATCTATATGTTTCAGAATGTATGTCACAACACACACTGAATTATTAGATGTACTTTCATTACCATATTTGCAAATTCAGGTAACGAAAGCACACAATTCAATTGTTTGGCCACCTCGATTGAAATTCTTTGTTATTAGCTGTACGGAAACTTTTACCTGTGAAGCGTGTATTTCAATTTTACCCCATTATATAAGGAAATTAAAAACGAAAGTGAAACTTTGTGGGGTAAGATATCAAGCAAAATTCTTCCTAGGCACACTGACTTAGCGCATATTCTTAGTCACACATAGACAACCATAACTAAATCGTAGCTGACAAGGATATACACCAATCGGCCAATATGTTTGTATGTAAATAAAGTTCTTATAAATTTTAAATGTAACAATACATCTTTGAAATGTTAAAATTTGAAGCATGGATAATGTAAAGAATAAATAATTAATAGCAAATTAAGAATATTCTTTTAAAGAGTCATATCTCTAGTTCTACAAATATTTAAAGATCGATGTGTGTCAAAGGAAAAATCAGTTATATCATTGTCATTTTAAACCATAGCATGCCAACATCTTGTAGGCTACTTTAATCGTCATATTCGACACCCATAAATGATTATGTAGTCCCATTTCTAATATTACCGTATAAATTAAAATCTTGACAGATGATTTTAAATTTTAGACTTTTGAGTTCAAGTGGTAATATTTTAAATTTTAGATAAGTTGAGAAATGGTTTCTCAAACAGTTCAAGTGGTAATAATAGGATTAATCGCCACCTTAGTCCACCTTAGTCCAATCCTTAGTCAAGAGGGAACCAAACCATGTCTCTTCAAATTGGACTCTCAGTATGGTGGAACAAAAAGCAATTGTTCCAGTATTGGAATTTCAAGAGTTCCTGGTAATCTACCCACAAATACTACAAGTCTAGACCTGACCTTTAACCATATTGAAATTCTACGTAACAATGATTTCCGGAATTTAACCCATCTACGATATCTTGATATTAGTTTTAATCCCATCAATACTCTAGAAGTATGGGCGTTTAATGGACTTGCATCATTATTGGTATTAGAAGTCAATGGCCACGAGTTGAATTATACCAATTACTCCTCCATACCTTCAGATGTTTTTTCACCTCTTCAATCACTGATTACTCTAAGCTTCAGATCAAATGTATCACGATTTCCAAATCGCGATTTTGATTTACGAGATGGCATTTTTGGACCCCTAAAAAGATTAAAACATTTAAACATGGACACAAGCTCGGGAGCAATATTTAAATCCGGATTTGCCAATTTAACAGAACTTCAGGAACTTGTCATTGGCGAGACCTGGAAACATGGCAAACGGATTGATTGTGGATTATCTGTGATAAGAAATAACACATTTGAAATATTTGCCAGCATCCCTGTTCAATTAGTACAATTAAACAGCTGCAGATTCGAAAGTTTTGATGAACATTTTCTTCGCCCTTTTCCCAGTTTGAAGATATTTCTGTTCAATAATGTTAATGTGGGTAGTAGTAACTTGTCACAGGTGATTAATGTTCTTCGGGTGTTTGAATATAAAAATATTACTAAAATCGGCCTTCGAAGTATCCAAACTCTTTTACCATACATTGGTTTTAATCGAAGGATCGATCTCCATGTCCTGTCCAAGATATGTGTTAATGATTTGGACGTTAGTGATAATTCTGTAAATTCTGTGGATTTTGATTTAATGTTTACGTATCCAAAACCCCGTCCACCGCTTTCAAATTGTTTAAAACGGCTTAACATTGCGAAAAATCGTATTTCAGGTACAGTAAGTAAGAATGCGTTTCCTTTCTTTATGTTGAACGTGCCCAACATAGAAAAAGTTGACTTATCAGATCAAAGAATATTCTCCTTTGATAAATACGTCACCAGATCCCGACACAGATCTCATAAGCATGGTAATTTCGATCGCGACATAAACATTTTTGGTTCCCAAAAATTGAGATATTTTAATATGGGCGGATTACCACATGAGCTTGGACCATTGACAGTTAATGTTCATGTTAATGGGACTGAAAATTTAAAGTACTTTAATATATCGTACTGCGGACTGAGCAATTTACAACACAAAATAACTGGACTGGAGAATCTGGAAGTTTTGGATGTAAGTGGCAATGATTTAAGTATTATTAATGAAACGATTATGGATACATTCCCTAATCTGACCCATCTTTACATCAGTAACTCTTTTATAACCAATGATTTTATTATCCGAAACGGTACCCGATTTCTTAGACCTTTGGAAAAATTGGAACTCTTAGACATATCTAATAATGGCCTTGTGATTTTACCAAAAGATATATTTAATTCCCGGGTTACGTTAAAAACCATTAATTTATCGGGTAATAAGCTGGTGGCCATTCCAGATCTGCTTCTCCTGGTAAAGCTCGAATCCATGTATCTTAATCAGAATTCCTTAACTACGATACCCAGGCAAAACAGACATATGTTGGATAAAACAACCGCGGTAAACACCAAACTTCATTTATATATGATGGGAAACACATTTATTTGTACCTGTGATTCGATTTCATTTTTGCTGTGGTTAGGCGAAACGAAAGTGAAACTAGACGGAAGGAATTATTCGTGTTTGGAATCCACAGGACAGATGACCTTTACCAACGCTGTTTATAAAAGATGGCCGTCATTTCATAGGCAGTGCATTTCACCATTATTGCTGAATTATACTATTGGCGGATTAAGCATCGCAATCGTTAGTCTCATCACAGCTTTTGTTTTCGTCAAAAACAAGATGAAGCTAATGTTGATTCTTCTAAGGATGGTTGGGCAACATATTTATCCCAGGAAAAGGGGAGACTTTGTGTACGACGCGTTTATAATCTACACGGATTCTATCTCATGTTGGGTTTGCAATCAACTAAGAACTGAACTGGAAACGAATCGTGGAATCGAACTGAACCTGCGGGATAGAGATCACATACCCGGTGGTTCTATGGCTGATGACCTGCTGGAAGCGATGAGACACAGTTGGAAGATCGTTTTGATTCTAACAGAAGATTTCTTAAGGAGTAACCTGGCTTATTTCACCATGTGCAATTGCTTATCATCGATTACCCTAACGACACCACATCGATTAATCATAATAATCGATCATCAGATGAATATACCCACCAATATCGATTTCTTACTGGAAGCTGTTTCTGAAGATAACATTCTCTATGTTAATCTGCAGAATGGATTAACTGATGAATTTTGGGAAAAATTAGCTAAGAACATCAAATCTAAAGAAAACGTGGCTTGATAGCCGTTATAAATGCTTAATTGTGCGAAAAATAAAATTGATCCCCGAGAGGCCATGGAATTCTAAGAACCTTCAGTTCACAAATATACGCCGAGCCTTGTGAAACGTGTTGCCATAACCATTCATGGTTCAGTTAGCGCGGACAGTGACCTCATCTTACGTTTGCTACATGTGGAATATTAATGAACAAAGGATTTGTGTCCCTCTGAAATGATTGCTATAATAAATATATTAACAGATATGATATGGTGGTTGGACGATTTATTCCGGCCGTCTTCATTATCCCAGTATAGGAGCAGACCAGTAGAACGTCAAACCCCATTTCATTTTGTTTCATTTCGATTTATTCCGGGGGCCTGTTTCACGAAATTGTAACTAAGCGAACTAGGTATCTTACCACACGGTTGTGGGTTTAATCCTCGGTCGAGTTGAGTGTCGAAACCTTATGTCCTCAAAGTAGAGACATTATTTATACACTGTACTCCAGTCTACCTAGCTTTTATCTGGATCCTGTGGGGTAGCGCCAGGTTATAACAGTCCAGACAAGACAGTATTAGCCCTAACAGTTGCTACAAGAGAACTGCTGAACACAGTTTAGGGCTGGTCTAGACGTATATTGTCACCATGAAAAGGTCCCAGTCCGAAATCCGTGTTCCAATGCGTAAAATTGGCCAAAATCCAAAATTCGAATTTTCACTTATTTATATAATATCACCGAGTTTGGTATCAAAATATATATTTCCAGGGTAGCTGTATTCCTTTAAATAATTTGTAATACCCCGGAGGCAATGTGTGGCGGTGGGGTGGCTATTCAAGATGGCAGAAAAGTTCTAATTTTATAAAATTAGCGTTGTCCTCAATATGGATTTCACTACAGGCTCTAATATGATTTTACGTTGTGTTCTATTAATACTTAGTCCTTCGGATGAGACGAAAAACCGAGGTCCGTGTATATATTGGAATGCACGTAAAAGATCCCTTGGCAGTTGGAATTCGATATAAGAGTAGGCGATAGTGCCGCTGCCCGGGCAAAATTTCCCTCATAGCACACTGTATGGCGTATGTCCGTCTTCATTAGCCCAGTATAGGAGCAGAACAGTAGGACGTTAAACCCCATTTCATTTAATTTCATTTTTCAACTTAAATCAAAGAATCGTGTCCATTTAACTTTCAACGGGGATTAGCTGGCCAAATATTGAACAATATTCAACTTACGATTGCAAGATGGTGTACCCGTATTAAAGTTCCCAGCTCATTGACATATAAGATTTGAAGAACCATGCAATGTATATCCCGATTCACAGGTAAGCTTGCAACTGCCACCCCATAAAACTCTATAATTGGTTAGGTCACATGAAACATGACCAAGCTGAGGTCGGATTGGTACATTGCAAGAAAAAACTGAAAGGGTAACCCAAATATATATATGGTGTAGGGTAACATATGGAATATTTTTATATCAAAGATTCGATTGTGCGCTGGTGTCTTTAGCCCCTAAAAATCAAAGTAAGCTCCAGTGAAGTGAAAAAAATGAAGAATCCGACAATCATTATATGTAATTTCCCATTGCACGTTTGTGAAATTTAAAAAATATAAAAACGATCCTTTAGGAACTCTTGTCTGTTGCTAATATAAGGCTACAACAATATACAACATAGAGCTCGAAGTGACGCATGGAGATGACAAAAATTCTTACTCACCTATAACCTTGAAATGAAATGAACACGTTTTGGAGGCACCTGTTGCATCGCGTACTCTATACTGAATGATATACGTTTTAGCTTTTAAAATACTCCCTGATTTGGGGCCTTCTGTCTGGATCAAACTGTCAAACCAGAAAAAGTGATTAGTCTGTTAGAGTTGATTTAACCATTCAATAAGTTATATTTATAGCACGGCTTTCATGAGTTAACCGGTTTAACTACAGAGACCGTAGCCCGAGGTGTTCACCTGCTCAACTTGCTCGTTGTTATTGACCTAGTTTGTGTCGAGTGGACGTTAAACCTCATCTCACTCTCTCTCTCTGTCTCTGTCTCTCTCTCGGATCGATCGATCGATCGATCGAGTGGTCATATCTATTATATTTGGTAGGATTGACGCGGCTTTCTGATTAGACTCTGCGCCATCTAGGATATTAAAGTTAACTAAAACTTGAGCTGACGGCACAGCTAAACTGAAACAAAATGGAGTTTAATGTCCTGGTGCTCTGTTATGCCATACGGTGTGCTATGAGGGGAATTTTGCCTGGGCAGCAGCGCCATGGCCCTGTCCTGCTTTTATATCGAATAACAAGGGTTCGTTTACGTGTACGCTCATGCCAGGCCCCAAGAGGGAGAGAAAGGGGGAGGGGGTAACGTCCACTCGACAAAACTAGGTCATTTCGGGACTAACACATGGTTCAATTTTAGTTCAATAATTTGCTGCGCGTAGGGGTCTTTAGAAGTGGGAAGAACCCGGAGCACTAGGAGAAAACTCACGAGGTTGGACAGGCGACCCTACGCCTTGTCACAACCGGGGAATCGAAACCACGCCAGTTGACTCAATGACAGACCTTATGGAAATTATTGGAAATTATGTAGCCATAGGTCCACTATTTAGTGTACGTACCTCACAGATCCCTGACCGCCTGAATACACAGGAGTTTTCCAATCCACGCGTTTGGTGGTTTTGCCTTGGTCGACTTCAACATCAGATATTGGTGAACAGGTTATTGAAAGAGGATCTGAAATAGAACCAGGAATTACTACAGTTTACCCCCTCAAAACTGTCTCCATTCTAATTTATCCAGGTAAATCGATTATAATACCCTACCATAAACGTCTCCACAATATCTCCACCATGACCATCCTTCACAATGAAGAATTCCACCAGGTTGAACATCTACGCACCTTTTACCCAACCACCATCCCCGGCACTGTCTTCCTCTTTTCTTTCTTAATAACTGTCGACGGACGGCAATACTTCCTAGTTTCAAAATTTGAAAAAAAAATCAAAGCAATCAATTAGTGTACAGCCATCTTCAATAGAAGGCTTCATCTCGCTTTAACTACGTACATCTTATCAAGGCCTTCACGTAATACCTTGCGTATATCGGCACTAATTTCGATAGGGTACAAGCCCAGCTTGTGAGCCTATAAGATTCCCCGACCGTCGCGAATACCAAGTCTCGCGCTTTCAAGCTAAAATGTCCACCTATGATAATCGTCTGATTGGACGCTACTGTTCACGTGCCTGTAGATAACATAGCTATAAGTTCGGGAATTGTGTATGTGTGTGGGGGTGGGGTGGGCCTCGACTTCTAGCTGGCCGGTCACCTCTGGCTTGCGGTTTTGGTTTCGATCCCTGGCCCGAGCGTATGTGGCTTGGAGATAGGGGCGCCTTCTCAACCTCCTGGGTTTACTCCGAGTACACCGGTTTCTCCTCAGGAAAGACCCCTGCGCGTGCGCCCAGATAACAAAAATGAAAATAGGACAACTTGTCTGCGATATCACCTTCGGTGGAAGCGGACGTTAAACACTAAGAACAACAACAACGGGAATTGTGAAGTGATCTAGCAATGTCCAGATGTTGTAAAACTCGCAATCATTACTTCAGGAACATCCTGTACAGCATGCATTTTAAAGAAAAAGAATGGCGTTTGACCATCAGTTAAATGATAACTTATAATGAAACGGTTTCAATGTGCAAAAAGAGTTTATTCATTACCTTGACAGTTGATTGGAGAACCTTCCCAGTTGCCATTCACACATTTCCTCCACCCATGCCCGGTCCATGCTTTATCAGAACATCTAACTTGACAGACGGTATCTTGTTTTAAATGATCTTCATGTGAAATATCATTTTCTATTTTACATTCTATAACCGTCAATGGCTTCAGCAATCTTCTATCACATTCCTGAATAGCAATCTCAAATTAAAGGTACGTTATTCCGGAGTTAAATTTCCCTGTTGCATGTCTTTCTTTAGTTCTATGAATCATTACAAGAACATAATTAACTCTCTAGGTATTTGGATGGCAGCGATTGTAAATAGATTAGAACGGTTCGGGTTCGGCCATTTAATGATTTAATTTACAAATGGAGTAGTAACGCTATGTCTCGATTATACCAATGCCATGGTTACGATAATAAACAATTAATGCGAACATTGATATCTTCGCTGAGAATAAAGTAATTTGAATGAAATTTGTATTATATTCAGTTTGCATTATTAATTTTTGAACTATTATAGCGAGAACGGTCGGCTCTTTATCTAAATCTTGCATAATGCTCCTTTAATTGTCTGCGGATTTGGTGCCGGAGGTGGCTGGGGAAACTTTTCTTGAACTCTCATGTAACTCGCGTATAGATAGATTTGTGTCAAAGTAACTGCACCATGCACATCAAAAATGTGAGGTTGTTAAATGTCTTTTAAAACCCAAATTGTCACACATATAGTTCCCAATCGTGCCACTGACAGCGTTTTTATACACTCCAAAGAGGTACAATGTATATGCATTATGCCCCCGTCAGAATGGGGTGGCGTCTTTACTGCGCTGCTGCGACCGTACGGCGACCAACAAATACACACGGTCGCCGGCAAACGTGATCACAACGCTAGAAAATGTACCAAACAATTACAAACTTGAAAAAAGTCGCGTTCTCACAGCTTTCCAGGCCAGATCGCAGAACCTTGGCATTTGCTTTCGGCGATCATTTGCGACCATGGAGACTACAGCACGATATCTGCATGGCGTTTCCACCACGCTTTTGCCACGCTTATGGCGATCTTGACGCGCTCCGAGGCCATTTTCAGTCGCCGTAGCAGCGCAGTAGAGGCGGTCTGACGGTGTGTGTGTCGGGGTGGGGGTGGGGGTGTGTATTAGGTGTAGTATAAAGTAGGAGACGTCAGTTATGCTCGGGAGAGAAAGTCTGAAGAAAATAACCCGAGGCCTTTTTGTATAAACCTTGCTTATACATGTATATTGACATGTACGTAAAATGAGAATATCCCAGAATCCCATTAAGAAGAACCTTAAATCATGTTTTAGTCCATTACAGGTTTAAAGAAAAACTTTCAGAAGAATTTTCAGACCGCAAGTTATTCCGGCTATAGAATATACCCCACACATGAAAGAGATTTACTGTTATAGGTTTATAAATATAG